TCCCATGTCTCGGCATGCTAGCAAGACAAGTGTTATCCGTTCCGGTATCAACCGTAGCAGTTGAACGAGAATTCAGTGCTAGCGGCAACATTCTAACCGACTTTCGAAGTTGTCTTAGCGCTGAATCTCTTGAAACACTGGTTTGCAACCAAGATTGGCTCTTGGCAAGACGTCGAGCTCAAGAGTCATCGTACCTACTCGAATCGGAGCATTACATGAATGCAACAACAGATGGAAGTCCGAGTTCTGAAGAATAAGTTACAATTTTTTATGTTAATGTAGATATGTAATTAGTTTTTTTAGGTGAGCGATATATAAGCTCCTTCGAGGGTTTCTTTACGGTTCTTTACCTCGTCGCTTTTTTTGAACCGTCAGGATATTAAATGTGGTTGTTCTTCAGTTAGTGTATTATTCATTTAAAATATTTAAATAACAACTACATTTTTAGATTTTTTATTTCATTCTTTCCTTAAACAATTGCAAATTTATAATTCTATACTTTAAAAATTTTAAAAAAAGCAAAAAAAAAAAGGAGGGGGGCCAAAACCGGCCGGTCCGGTACCGGAACCGCCGGTCCGGGAACCGGAACCGGTACTGGCCGGCACGGTGACGGTTCCGGTGACATGGGGTGGCGGTACCGGAACCGGAACCGTACCGGAACCGTACCGTGTCCACCCCTAGTCTGTAACAATGGTGGTAGAGTCAGAGGTTTCATACCAGGGTATTTAGCAACACGACAAGTTTACGGACCTACGTATGGTGTAGAGTACACCGTTTCCAGAATTTACTATAAGTATTTTGAGATGAATCATATTGTGGAAGCCTTCATCGTACTTCCTGGACGGATTGACACTATGGAAGGTTTGTTTACTTTGATCTCATGGGCATCTAAAGGGTTGCACAGTAAACCCATTGGTCTTTTGAACATTGATGGTTATTTCAATAACCTAATCAAGTTTCTAGATGATGCGGTGAGGCAGAACTTCATGGCTTTGAATCAGAGGAAACTTTTCATCTCTTCTTTCTTTGTTGATGAGCTTTTATACAAACTAGAGTTTGCTAAAGCTTTTCCGGGTCCTAGTTCTAATTACGACGAGTTCGCGAATCCCGGGGGGTTAGATTTGGAGTTACATTTGTAATATTACTTCATGCAATCCCAGTTGTATTTGTGTTGGAATGATATCATCTATAAATATTATTCTATGTTGTATGGCCAGTGCGAGCTACATTTCTTCATTCTTCAGTCTTTCACTGTTGGTGTCACTGTTTCACTTCTTTTTTTGTATTGTTACCACGTCGCGATCTTTTACGTCAATAGCGTGTACGAATAAGTCAATTTTCTTAACTATTTGTCTTATCAACATCACTTTATTTCACTAATGTTTTCGATGATAAGCAATTAAGTCATTAGTTGATTCATACAAAGGCATCAATTCGATCAACAAGGTTGAGCTGTTTATAGTTTTTAACAAGCAGGTTCTTTGTATCTGATCGAACAAGTTGTCAGCTCATAGTAAAGGGTAGCAATTCGTGATCATCAATTTGTTCAACTTTCTTAACAGGAATGGATAGAATCCTGACCGTAAGTCAATCTTAGAGAGCACGATGGATCTTCTTAGCTGATCAAATAAGTCTACAATACGAGGTAAAGGATAATGAATTATTCAACTTACAGTAGTTGATACAAGGTCTCATTGATTCTTCCTTATTCACGTTTGAACAGAACAGATATTCTCCGATAGAGGAAACAATTTGTTAGATCATTCCTTGTCAGGCAATCTTCATAGTTGAGTTTTTAGTTTCGACGGAAACATATTCAATACGGAGTTACGAATATTGGTCCTCTCGAGGATCAAGATTGACAGAGATTTCAATTTCTCAGAACGGTGAAATATAAGGAAGTTCATATCAGAGAGGTGACATACTTTCGGTACGTTCCTTCAGTTTAGATGTTTCTTTTTGTGTGTCACCCGAATAGACTTCACACTTCTTACGGTTGAGACGTTTTCGCATATATATTCAAGATGAACGAACTCTATCGGTTTAGAAATCAGCTTTGCTTTCACCTCTATGAGGTTTATCATCATTGGTCTTCAGTTGAAGAATTCTTCGTCAAGAGTTGTCAACAGCAATGTCGTTCAGTCAGCCTATGCATACTAAGGATAATTATGAATTTCCTTGTACGGTAATTCAATGAGGCTTTCAAGGAATTGTCGCTTAACGAACGATTTCGATTCACAAGATATAATCGCATATTATGTTGTAATGAGTTAGACAACAGAACGAGATACTTTAGATAACAGAGTTTTATTGATACTAAACGTTCGTGTTTGAATCAGTGATCAGATCGTCTTGAGTCCACATGAGGATCTTTGACATCGGCTTCACAAACCATGTGCGCAGGACGGCGATTCTAATTGATCTACACGCCGTTCCCTGATTGGAACCAAATTGGTTCTAGTCGGGGTACACTTTTTGGTCCAACTTTCTCCGAATTGAATTTCGTTTGCACCGTTGCGATCGGACAGTTAAACTCTATCCAACGATATAATTTTTATATTTATTTGTAATACTTTTTCCGACATCATATTTTTGGGTGTTTGACTTTGACATAGTCAAAATTGATTCAGTTGTCTTTTATTCAAAAAGGTTCTCATATTTAAATCATATTTATTATTCTCATGATTTATTTCAATAAATCATTTTAAAGTTCACATCATAATTAATTTCTTCATTTATTCTTGATTTGGGTCTGTACTCAGGTTCCCAATCAAGACCACACAAATAATCAACATATGAGATTTATCTCTATGAGATTTATCTTAAGTGGGTATCAAAACATATTTCAAATCGGCCCAAATCCCAACAACAATTTATTTTAATCAAAACAAATTTGATTAATCGAATAGTTATTCATCAATAATTCTAGGGTATGTTTTGGGGCGTTACATTTCTTCCCCCCTTAAAGGAACTTCGTCCTCGAAATTCTTCTAAGGTCCACAATCAACATCTTGTTGCATTCATATTTAATCATCACTGCGTCTTTTTCACATGGTTATGTCGTTATCTTATAGATATGTATTCTTAAACCGTTGATGTCACCAAACTCTTTCAACATTCGAGAGTTTAACAAACTTCGATTAAGCAAAGCATTCACTGATCTTTTGGTATTGACAACTAAGGTTCCTTTGTAGTGTCTAGGGTTGTATACTTGCACAGAACTTCGTTCATTCAAAATTTTCAATTGTACACAACGTCGGTTAACGATATTCTTCGTTTGATTGAAAGTCCTTCAGTAGTTTCAAATCATCACATTCACGGAGGATATAGTTGGGGATTTAGAGTTTGTTTCAATGTATACATCGTAGCGTAACCTTTCAAGTCACTCAAGACATCTTCACACTATTCACATAGTCCATTAATGACTCGTAAATAACATCAAATGGCTTTTATCGGTTCAGAATATGGGATTTGTCATCATTTATGAGGAAGTACTGTCGATTGATTGTACAGGATCTTGTTACCATCGATTTACATCGGAACATTTCTTCATTCACTTCATGGTAGCTCTCATTATCGTTAATGAGTCTTTGCATTAATTTGCATCCACAGGTGATAACATTCGAGTGGCGTTTCATGTATGTCTTGTCGTATTCAACCTTCTTCGTTGATCAAGATACATTCATGATAGCGACAGATTCGATTGTAATACTATGATTAATCTCGTTCCGAGGGAAGAAGAGAACATTTTCAGTATGTGATTCAATTCACAAATTCAAAGAGTAAGGAATCTTACGAGTTCTTATACTAACATCGCATATAAATTCGGGATTTTTGCTTGAATGATTCAGCTTGATCATTGTGACGTCATTTCTTCTTTGGTTGTCATACATCAACCGTTTTGTAGTTCACAAAGAGAGGTTTAAGATAATATTTAAGTCACGGTAGTTTACAACGTATAGTTTTCGAAGATCGGTGTCATAAAGCATCTTTGGGATTTAATGAAGAACCATAACTTGAGACAAGTTTTCAATGATTTGATACAAACAATGGAATTCAATCCTTTCAAGGGGGTCAAATGAGATGTTTCAAGTGTGCAATTAACACAGCAAATTTGAGTATTGTAGGAATATGAGTCACAAGATACGAATGTAGCATCATCGTTAATCATACCTTTTTATCCTTTAATGTTTAAATCTTTGGAAGTTGTTCAAGGGGGTCGTTGTCTTAGGGTAGTAGTCATTTGACTTTTCGTCTTGTGGTTGAACGTATTTCAGGACAGCGAATCTAACTATTCATGAGTCTCAATACGTCATATCGTTAGCAGACTGTAGTATCCGCGAGTACGTTCTTGTCTGTAGTATTGGCGAGTACGTTCGAAGAAATGGAAATATGATTCATTATAACTATGCAGCATAACTTTGACTCTGTAATTGGACGGGATGTGGCCAGATGAATCAGAGCTAATTTTATCAGCTTGGCCTACAGAGGGGACGGCTGCCCCGTTTGAGTTTGCCAAACACGGAGTTACCTATAGAGATTCCACCACGGAGCCTCAACACCAGATGCCGAATAAACTCTGTTCGAATCCTGAGGGGGGTGTATTCAATTTAGATTTAAAAAGATTTTGATTGATTGTTTAAAATTTACGGATTAAATAAAATGAATAGATTGTTTTAAGCTTATGCAGAGTTAGATAGATTTTAATATGTTTTTCAGTAGAATTTTATAAGATTTCGTGTGATTTACATTTTTTTGTTCGAGTAGGATTTACACTTTTTTTTTCTTTCTTCCTTCTTCCTTCTTTTCTCGATTTCTCCGCCCAACACCCATCTCCTTTTTCTCCTCTTCTCTCCTCCGTTTCTTCTTCTTCTTCTTCTTCTCCTCCAGCAGATCTGCGCATCTCTTTTCTCTACTCATTCTTCTTTTTCTTAAATATGGTTCTTCTTCTTCCTCCTCTTCCTCCCCTCCTTCTTTGGGATTAAGACTTCCGGCGACCGGGATCCGGGCGAAGCTCAGAACCAAGCAATCCGGCTATTTCGAGCCGGCTTCCGGTGAGAAAGGAAAATTCGGCCTGACCACCGCTCAGATCTTGCGGGTAGTGAAGAAGCTTCGAGACTTCAAAATGCTAGATTGTCTTCAATTGCTGCATTTCCACATTGGATCTCAGATTCCGTCGAAAACATGTTTTAACTCCACATTAAAACATATTTGACGATTTGGGATGGCAATTCAAGAAGAGATTTAAAATTTGCCAA